ACGATGAAATAAACGCAAATATTGTAACAGACTTATAAGATATTATAAAAAATATTCTTTTTAAAATCTTCATAGTGTCCATCACACAAGGGTCCTTTCCAGATAAACTGAAAATAGCTAAATTAACTCCAATCTTCAAGACCGGTGATCATACAAATATAACAAATTATCGCCCTATCTTGGTTCTTCCAGTTTTTTCAAAAATATTAGAAAAAATAATGTTTAATCGAGTCTACTCTTATCTTATTGAAAATAAAATACTGCATAAAAACCAATTTGGTTTTAAAAAAAATAATTCAACCGAACATGCCGTTCTTCAACTTACGCGCAACATTGCAGATTCATTCAAAGACTCGTTTTAGATTAGGGGTTTTTATTGAATTGTCCAAATGCATTTGATACCGTGAATTACCAAATCCTATTTAAAAAACTTACACTAGTGATCAAAAGTTTAGACTCAGAATAAAACTTATAGTTTCTTACTGATTCGTGATTTAAAAAAATGCCTTTTTTGTTTTGTTTTTAATTTTATTTTTAATCCAGTTTATTATTTATGAAATTCTCTTTAATATATATAAAAGACTTGAAAAGAAAAACAAGTTTAAAGTATTTTATTTTGAAAATAGCAAAATCATGTAAAAAGATATCTATAAAAATCTTGTTCATAAGTTTAGACTCAGGACTTTTCACTTTAAACTGTAAGTCAAGTTAATAAGGTATGTGACCGCCTTTGTTAGCTATGCAAAGTCTACATCTTCTTTTAATAGATTCAAAAAGATTTCGACAATATTCAAAGGACAAGCCATCAAACAACTGTTTTAAACTTTTTCGTAGTTCTTCAGCTGAAGTTACAGGAGCTTTGGTCAGTTTTCGACCATACATTTTCCATTGGATTTAAATCTGGCGATCTAGCTGGCCACTGGAGTAAATTGATTTTATTTTCTTTAAACCAAGCTGTTACTGTTTTTGCTTTGTGACAAGGGGCATTATCTTGCTGAAATTTCCATTCTGGCTCATCTCCAAAAAATAAGTCTCTTGTTGGAATCAAATTATTTTTATTTATGTCATTTTTAAGAGCTAGATTTATTTCTTGAGCAATTTGTTTGGCACTATACTTAGGATTTTTTCTGGCAATTCTGTATATACTATTATCATCAGTGGTAGTTGTTTTTCTGGGTCTTCCGGATCTGATTTTATCTAATGTGCTACCTGTTTTTTTCCACTTAGCTATTGTTTTAGTGACACATGACTGTGATACGTTCTTGAGAATCAACTGAACTTTTCTTGTAGAATTACCAGCAAGGTGCAAGGTGATAATTCTTTCTTTGATTTCTTTTGATACTGATGTTTTACCCATTTTCTAAATATTTTAAATGCAAATAATGAGTAAAAATTGTATATTTTGATTAGCGTGCACTAAGTTAGTAAATAATTTAATTTTTAAATGGATTTAAACATAATATTTTAGAAAATATATTTTGATCCATGTTAGAATTACAATCTTTAAAAAAAAAGGTTAAGCACTTATATGGAAATAAAGATAGAAAAAGTGAGTCTAAATTTATGAGACACATTTTATTTGTTTTTAAATAGCGCTATTATTATAAAATAAAAAAAAAGACCAATATATAAAATAAAAGGTGTGTGTTTTTTGTAATTATGTTAGAAACAAACTAAATAAGTTGAATTAAAAAAAAAAATTTCAAGCATTATCTTAATAAATTTTTTTTAGCATTTTCAGAGCTAAGCTTAAGAGATTTTTTTTCTGAGTCTAAACTTTTGATCACTAGTGTATGTCTTATGGTATTAAAGATAAAACTCTGCTTTGGTTCAAAAGTTACCTCACAAACCGTAAACAGTTTGTCTTCAATAAAGATTTCACATCTCGTGCATTTATAAGTATATCTTGTGGAGTTCTGCAAGGATCCATACTTGGTCCTCTCTTTTTTTTAATATACATACTTTATAAACGATCTTTATAAATCTTCAAATCTAACAACAATAAATTTTGCAGATGATACAAATTTTTTTTTGTCTCATGAAAATATTAATATACTATTTACTGATATGAAAAATGAATTAAAAAAAGTTTCTGTTTGGTTTAAACAAAATAGATTGTCCCTCAATATTGAAAAAACGAAATGGACACTCTTTTATCCGCCTTCTAAACAACAGAAACTTCCACATATCATGCCAGATCTTTTAATCGATAATATTACTTTAAAAAGGGAAAAGGTTACAAAGTTTCTTGGAATATATATTGACAAAAATTTGTCCTGGAGGTATCAGATCGATGTTACTTCCACAAAAATTGCAAAATGCATTGGAATTCTTTATAAAGCAAGAAATATATTAAGTAAACATCAGTTAACACAACTGTATTATTTATTTATTGATTGTCATATAAACTATACATATATGGGGAAGCACCCATAAGACAAAGCTTAAATCTCTTTACCTTCGTTAGAAACACGCATTTCGCGTAATAAATTTTAAAAATCGGTTTTCTCACACAAAACAACTTTTTAAAAAAATGAATATTTTGTGCTTTATGTTTAAATGTAGAGAAAATTTTTCGCCAACTGTATTTAAAAATGCTTATAATTTGAAACCGATAAACAAATATAATCTTCGCACTAATAACAATCTTATTGCCCCCTTTTGCCATCAAAAAAAAGACCAGTTTTTTGTTTCTTATCGAGACTTTATCTCTGGAATAAAATAGTTTTACCAAATTTTGATTTTTCTATTAAAATGGCTTATGCTTCATTTAAACAGAAACCTAAAAAGATTATCCTTTTGTTAGAAAATATACACATATATTTTTAACTATTTTTGTATATTGTTTTGTTTTAGACTAACAATTACTAAGTTTTTTATAAAAAGATATATTATTTCATTACGAACAACTTATTTTTAATTAAAGTTATATTATAAGTGTAAATGTATTATATTTTTTAAGGGTTTTATGATAAGATCCTCATGATCTTCTAAAAGTCCTGCCGTTGTTGCTGCCAAAGTAAATGTAGTTATATATTCTCTTATGGTTATTGTAATTATACATATATACATATAATTGTAACTATATTATCTGGTTATTGTAACTATTTTTAAACGGCGAAATAAATCTTAAAAAAAAAAAAAAAAAAAAATGCGGGGAAGGGGAGGGTTTAAAAGTTTTACAAGTTGTTAACGATGAGGAGGTGAAAATCGTCCAAAAATTGCTAACGTAATAATAGATAGCCTCCTGCCAAATTTGATAAAAATATTCATATAAATAATATAAAATAGGAATAATAGTATTTATTATCAAAAATTTAATTAGGGTTTCTTAAGAGTGAAAAATTTAATTAGGGTTTCTTAAAAATTATAAACCTGACCCGGATTTATGGTCAAGACCCAAAAAGCTGTAAAATCTACAAAACCCCTAAAAAAACACTGCTTTAATTTCTAATAGATTCCCTAAATTTGAAAATGGGTCCCGTATATTAGTTACCCTACCCCCTCTCGATATATGTCTGGTAGCCTAGCAATGGCTCTGCTAACAACTCTAAATCTAACCCTTTGTCGTGCGTGATCTAATTGAAGATTGTCTGTGGAAGAGTGCAACAACATTTACTGCAGACGTATTTGTGACAAGAGCATAAAAGCAAATAAATAATTTTATTTTGTCTATATATCACTAATAGCGATATAGGGAGTTAATAGTCGTTAACGTGACTAACCAATAAAAATTAAATTAATTAAATACAATTAAAATAATTTAATATTAAAAACTTTAGTTTGAAAAATGCGCATGAATAATAAGATAAAGGTCAGTTCTGTAATAAAGTAAAATTTTTCAAAAAATTTGAAACTTAAAAACCCATTCCAACTTGAGATATGGATTTTTAAATTTCAAATTTTTTGTAATGGTCTGTAAATTTTTTCTCATGGCTTGGTACCCAAACCATTACAATAACTCTGTTTGATGCTCTAGACTCCAAATCCAAGATTAGTTACATATTCTTGTAAGTTTTAAAGTTACCCTCTTCTAGATCAAACTGAAAATATTACGCAAAAAAGTCTTATGAAATTTTCTTTGATCTTGGCATTTGATAAATTTGATATGTATTAGTAATACATATAATACATAATAATATTATATTATATTACTTATTGTATATATATGTATATATATATATATATATATATATATATATATATATATATATATATATATATATATATATATATATACATATATATATACATATATATATATATATATATATATATATATATATATATATACATATATATATATATATATATATATATATATATATACACACACATATATATATATATATATATATATATATATATATAATATATATATATATATATATATATATTACATAATAATTAGTAATACTATTACATGGCATTTGATAAGTTTGATATGTATTATGGCGTTATGACTGTCACTACACCATAAAACTTATATATGCATGATGCATGGCAGCATTAATTTTTTGCAAAAAGTTTTTGTAAATATGCTCCTAATAATATTTGGATTTATACAATCATTAGATTTGAATACTTTGATCTTGAAAAGCTTTTCATTTTTAAAATCAATCTTTTGGTTTTTAACTTAATTTAAACTGAATTTAAAACCCAAATCAGTCCTAATTCATTTGATACAAATGATTTGTGTTTTTTTTTTTTTTAACCATCATTTTGCATTCAAGAATATAACAAAATTTTTATATTATTATATTTTTACTTATTTAATATAAGTTTTATCAATGTAGGTCTACAAAGTAAACTAAATATTATTGATAAATGGTTGAAACAGTGGTAATATATTAAAAAAATGTGAAGGAATGCATTTTAGAAAAAAAAAAAAAGAAGTTTTAACTATACAATTGGTATGTTAACTACTCAATCTCTTTATCAACATGTGGAAACAAAAAAATCTTGGTGTCATAATATTAAGTGATTCAAAATGGAAACAGCAAATAAATGTTACTGTTTCGAAAGCCTATATATAAACGCATTTACTAAAATAGATAAAAACATTTGATATAATTTACAAAGGATACATCAGACCACATCCTGAGTACTCTATTCAAGTTTAAAACCTCCATTAATAGTACAAATATTGAGAAAAAGTGCAACAAAAAAAAAGCTACATAATTGGTTTTGAGTATTTGAAATTATGTTTACAGCACCAGGCTGAAAATTTCAAACATCATGACATTAGAAGACAGCTCTATTTTATTATGTCAGCTAAATTTAGAAGACAAAACAAATAGAACTGCTATCAATTATTTAAAAATAGTTAACAGAATAGGCTCAGTAAAATTTCACAATCTTTCATTAATTTCATAATCAACCTCAGTTAATCAATGTGTCGACCAGCATTATATTCGTGGATATAAATTAAAAAAGAATTTGTTAAGAACTGTGAATCTATAATTTTTTATAAATAGATTGGAGTCAGATTAGAACAAACTCCCAAGCTCGGTTATACCAGCCAAGAATGTTATCAATTTCAAGAAAAAATATGACAAATATACAATGATAAACAATAAAAAGGCAAAAAAATTAAAATAACATGGATGAAAAAATGAGAACTGTTTATAGGAAGACTTCTACAGTTACTACTTCATTCTACGAAACAAACTTAAATTTGCAATATAATAGTTTATATATCTTTAAACATTTGTACTATTGTTTACAGTATATAAATAAATATTTAGCACTATGAATGCTGGGTAAAAAAGATCAACATAAAAAGGACTTAAAAAAGAGTACTTGATCTGAAGTGAGAGCAATTTAAGTTGAGTGTCTAACTACTTAAAAAAAGTGAGTTCTAAATTTACTCTTTGAATGTTTAAAATCTCAATACAGCTTTTTTTTTTTTAGATTTCTATTTATCATAAATTATATAAACTTAAAGTTAAGAGTTTAAGCTAAAGTACATATAGTAAGTAAAAGAGAGAGAGAGAGAGAGAGAAATGGTAGCCTTGATTATAGTTTAATGATCTTTAAGTTTTTTTTATTTTATTCTTTGTTTTTATTTAATTTTAAAATTTTTTAACTTTTACTATATTCAAAATAGGTTGTAACAATTTTTATATATGCTTTTGGTAATCTGTTTTATTGTTTATGGAGACCATAAAAACATCTTGAAATATTAGTTGTTATGATAAATACTAATTTTTTAAAATAATAATTAATAATAATACAATAAATTCTACATTTTTATTGTAAATATTTACTATTGTTATTATTTATTACTTCAGGATGCTTGACTGTAGCATCACCATGTTTTTTGTATAATTTTGATATTAATAAAATATTTACATATTGGTTTAAAATGCAAACAGTGTACTTTTTGTAGTAATTAAATATATATTTTTTAATACATTTAGTTTATTTTAGTAAATGAGTTCAGTTTTATATCATTTGTTTTGTATATCTTCGGATGGAATACCATTGCTAACTTATAAAAGTGATGGATTACCAGCAATTCCATTTCCAGTTATTGGTGCTATAAATGGAGTTCATATGTATGCAAACAGTAATGGTGTGGAGCTAGTTAGCACTGATGCAGGAAATGCTAAAATTATTTGGAAAGAGTATTATTCAGTTAAGCTAATTTTAACATTATTTTCTAAAAACTTTTTGCATCACAGCAAATTATTAGATGATATATTTTATGTTTTTGTTATAACTATTGGACTAAATTCACTTTCAAAAATTTTAAGCATCGAAAAAGTAAAGAAAAAGTTACGGACATGCCTTCCTTTGATTTCTTTGTTGATGCGTAAACAAGGAACTATAAATAATCTAAGATACATGGTTGACTTGTGCCTTGTTTCACAAAAAACTGTTCTACAAAATCAGCTCAATATATTTATTGAAGAAAGCTCTTGCGAATTAGGGTGTTTATTGTTATACAACAAAGTTATTGTTGCAACAGAAAGTTTTTGGCAAATGGATAAAAAAGATATTTATTTTATTATTATGTTCCAAGAATCGTTGTGTAATTCACTTTCTGCCAGTGACACTCCTATTTATTTACCTGTGTCTAGTCCTGACATACCTCATCGATTAATTACTCTTAGTTTAATAGAGCATGTAAAAGTTGTGCTAATATGTGGATCACGGCCTACACTGTCAGAATTGTTAAAAAATTACTTACATAAATACTGGATGCCACTACTTTTCGTTTTAAAAGACTCTTTAACATCTTACCCTCGCTGTTTTCCAAAAGATATAAAACTGGATTCTTCAATTTTGAGTTTTGTGTTACTAAATATTAAAGATGAGATGTCTTGGTGTTCATTGTTTCCTCATGGCTCAATGACAGGCAGCGATCAGTTTGTCTTATGTGATGTCAATGAGCGTCAAAATGCTTTATTTGCATTTTATGAATCTTGTCTGAAATCTTTAGAAAAAGAGAAAAACATACTATCTGCTATAGATGCTAAGGAGATTTATGAATGCACTGAGCAATTTAAATGCTATGCTATATTAGGTTCAACTTATTATTTATTTGTACTTTACAAAAAAGATACTGCAACATTTGCTTTATCTGGTGTATCTAGAAATATGTTAAAAAGATTGTTAAAAGAAAAGTTTATTTAATATTTAATACTTTTTAAAATATTTTTATGTTAGTTCATGGATAAATAATTTTTTTTTTAAATGTTTGCAATTTTGTTGTGCCATAAAATGGGAGATGCAGTCCTTGGCTTATGCATTTAAATTTATATTTACAAAATTTGATATTTCAACAAATAATTCATTTCTAAAATTATTTTTAAAAACTTGGAAGATTAAAAGTCATTCCGAAATGTTTACATTTTTTATCATTTAAAATGTCAACAAAGATTAAAAAGAAGACATAATCAAATTATTTTATTAAAAAAATATATTTATATTATATCTATATATTTTTATATATACTATTTAATTCAGTCTTCTCCGTTTGACGAGCGCTTTTGCACTCTTGCAGTTTTGCACTCTGCCACATGCCCACCAACACTATGGCTGGCACTTTTTAAAGTGCTCACCAAAAAATTTAAAGCGTGTTTTTAAATTGCAACAAATATTTTTTCTTAATCAAATTGTCATTAAAGAGGTACAAAAATTTTTTTAAATTGTGCATGCCAGACAAATAATTGCTCTCCAGGCTGCGCTTTTTTATTCGCTGGCGGTAAATTTTAAATGGAGATGACTGCATATTTATTTTTAAAACAACAAGCAATTTTTTTTATACATACACACACACATACATATATATATATATATATATATATATATATATATATATATATATATATATATATATATATATATATATATATATATATATATATATATATGTATATATATATATATATATATATATATATATATATATATATATATATATATACACTGAGGCATATTCGTTTAGACGCATCAATTTTTTTCTAGATAGACACAATCAGGTTAATAACGGTAATTATTTTTAATCACTTTGACACAAATAAATTGATATATCTTAGTGTAATTTGATCTTTTGCTCTGCCAGTATCATTTTTATTGCATTTTACGAAATGCCTAATAAAAAGTATTTAACAGATGCTGAAAAAATACAAGTTAATTTATATTGTGGCTCAGAAATCTCACCAGCACTTTCTATATGAGAAATAGTAAGAAAAATTGGAAGATCTGACCATTTTGTACGAAGCTAAATTGCAAAAGGTGATAATTACGGTGTAAAAAAAATAACAAACAGCAACAAAGTATTAACAAATCGGCAAATTAATCGAATTCGCTTCAAAGCAACCAAAAATAAATTGAATGCAACACAAATAAAGGATAAATTATTATTGCCTGTCACCAATAAACATGTTGTACATATTCTACATACCACACCAAACGTAAAGTGGAAGAAACCACATAAAAAACCAATGTTAAAAAAACACCATAAAATTGCTAGATTACAGTTTGCTAAAAACCATATGCATTGGACTCATGAATGGCAAAACGTAATATTTTCAGATGAAAAAAAGTTCAATTTAGATGGTCCAGACTCTTACAGTTGTTGTTTGCATGATCTAAGAGGAATAAATGACCCACAAACGAAACAAAATTATGGTGGAGGAAGTTTAATGGTTTGGGGTGGATTTTCTTATTCGGAAAATTGACTCTGTGTTGTGGTTTACCTAAAATGAACTCGATAAAGTATACAAAAATATTGGATGATGTTCTCATAACTTATATGGATGAAAACATGGACAATAATGCCATATTTCATCAAGATAATGCTGCATTTCGCACATCTAGGCATTCTATAAAATGGTTTAAAGACCACAACATCCCAGTTCTCGAATGGCCAGCTTGTAGCCCGGAATTAAATCCAATCGAGAAAGTGTAGGGAATGCTAGCAAGAAAAGTTTATGACGCTGAAGCAGCCGGACAACAATTCAAAACTGTTACTGAGTCAAAGTGTAAAATCCTTGAAGCATGGTCCGAGTTGGATCAAACTACACTTCAACGACTAGTGAAGTCAATGAAAGACAGAATTTTTGAGGTGGTCCAATGTAATGGAGGACATACGCATTACTTATTTCCATCTTTTAATGTCAAAAATATGACTGCGTCTATAGATATATTCCAATTAAAAAATGTGCTTTTGTATATCAAACATACTCTCATGTTAATAAAGACACATAGAAAATTTTTTTTGTGGCTTTTATTAGCCCACAACACAACAATTATTTTGATAATAACTTACATGCATATCAGTTGACAATTCATAGAAAAAAATTAAGGTAAAGAGAAAAAAATTGATGCATCTAAACGAATATGCCTCAGTGTGTATATATATATATATATATATATATATATATATATATATATATATATATATATATATATACACTGAGGCATATTTGGAATATATATATATATATATATATATATATATATATATATATATATATATATATATATATATATATATATATATATATACACTGAGGCATATTTGGAATATATATATATATATATATATATATATATATATATATATATATATAAGCATTAAAACATCATATACGGTATCATACTATTTATTTCTTTTCTCTATAAGTGATATTTCGGCTCATATAGTATCAAACTAATAAAGCTGTTTTATTAGTTTGATGATTGAAAGGTTTTATTAGTTTGATAATGGCTCTTACTCTTAAAGAAATAAATAGTATGATACCGTATATGATGTTTTAATGCTTATAATTACACATACTATTAAAGATGTCACTTAAATTTTATATATATGTATATATATATATAAATATATATATATATATATATATATATATATATATATATATATATATATGTATATATATATATATATATATATATATATATATATATATATTAGGGTGGTCCATAAAACAACTTTTTTGAGAAAAACCTGCTGACACCCCCTAAATGTGTTTTATCTAATGCAAAAACACTAGGTTTAAAAATTTTTTGAACAAAAATTATTTTTAGGGGTAGCTCAAGGCCCTCAAAAATTTGACGGGTCCCTAATATTTTGAAAAAAAAACTTTTTCTAAAGTATGTCAACCTGGTACTCAAAAGAAGCGATATTGTATAAAAACTTCAAAAATAATAATCATTTTACATAAAAAACATGCCTAAAAAAAATTATTCTCAAAAAACCTGAAAATATTGACTTTTTTTATTTTCAGCTTAAAAACAATAGTTTTTATGCATTTATACCTAAAAAAATTATTTTTATAAAAAATTATTATCATTTTTAAATTTTTTATATAATTTTGCTTATTTTGAGTACCAGGTTGACATACTTTAGAAAAAGTTTTTTTTTCAAAATATTAGGGACCCGTCAAATTTTTGAGGGCCTTGAGCTACCCCTAAAAATAATTTTTGTTCAAAAAAATTTTAAACCTAGTGTTTTTGCATTAGATAAAACACATTTAGGGGTTGTCAGCAGGTTTTTCTCAAAAAAGTTGTTTTATGGACCACCCTAATATATATATATATATATATATATATATATATAGAATTGAAATTTTTAGTAAAATGAAATTTGAAATCAAAAAACAATGTTTTGGGAAAATTTTAAAAAAACTATACACTTTAAATGCTATAAGTATTCAGGAAGGCTTATTTTTGTTACTAAGGAAACATAACTTAGAAATTAAAAACATTTTAAGTCAAAATCGAAGCATCATTATGGTTATGTTTGCACCAGTTATTGAAGTAAATCCTGATCAAGAGTTACAGAAGCAAAGTTTGTCTAATGCAGCAATAGATTTTTGTGTTCAAAAAAAATTGGATTCTAACTTTTGCAAAGTATTTGTTAGAAATATTGGTTTTACAGTACGTGATAGAGATTTCTGGAATTTTTTTGAGTATTTTGGTAAAGTACTACGTGCTACAATTGTTAGAGATAGAAAAACAAGAAAATCAAAAGGGTAAAAGTTTTTTTTGCAAACAGTATTGAAATAAACATAATACTTTTAGATATGAAATTGTATGTATTTAGTTGTTTTGAATTTATATGTATTTATATTCAATTTTGATATTGTATAATATTGTATATAATACTTATGTGTTTAATATGATAATTAATTAGTTATAATTACTTTTATTATTTCTTTTTGTTGCAATAATTTTAGTAATTAAAATAGATTTTAGTAATTAAAATAGATTTTAGTAATTAAAATAGATTTTAGTAATTAAAATCGGATTTAAACATATAATCATGAACTTAAATTACTACTCATCAGAACAGGTCATGGATTTGATCAAATACAAAGATAAATGTGGTTATTTCAGAATTTCAAATGCAAATTCAAATACAAATCATTATTAATCATCATTAGGTTAAGAAAAAATACAAAGATTTTTTTAAAGCAAGACAGATAAAATGGTATACTTATTAGAATAATAAAATTAAATCTTTTAACAAATATCCCTTTTAAACTAATTTTTAATTTATTTTAGTGTTAAAAATGAAAAACAAAAAAATACTAGTTAACCTAGTTCATGAAATCACAAATCAAATTTTAATCAAATTCAAGTATTTAAGAAATTTTAAATTGAATACAATACAAATACAAACTATGCCAATTAAATCTATTTTTACTAAATAAAAATACATATCTGACTTATATATGTACTTTTGTATATCAATTTACATAATATTTATTATGTAAATAATAACAAAACAATAGAGAAACTCAACTTATGGATCTTATTGTGGAGGTACAATATAACAAAATTAAGCAGCTTTGAAAACAACTTTGTTAGCATCATTTAATTTTCTTTTCAAAGTTTTTAATCAGATAAATAACTTATTTTGCCTTGAACAAAATCTTTAATTTTTGTTTAGTGTAATTTTGTTTAGTTTTTAAAGAAATTTTTAAAATCTGAATTGTTTTTTTTTTCATTTTTTTTTAAATATTTATATTTCATACCATTCTGATGCTCATTTTAAAAAGAATTTCATTTATTTTTGACATTGATGAGCCCATTGGTTTTGCCTGTACTTTTTAAACTATTTATGTGGTTATGTGTATATATTTTTTACACTTTGTATTTGGTTATACACAAAATAAATATATTTTCGTAATTTGAGGAAAATGTGTTGTATGGTTTATAGATTCAGTAAAATTTTGATAATTTGAAAGAAACCTGTGGTAAATATTTTGACAAATGTTAAAGTTAAACAAACCTTTAAAAAGGTTTGCAACTCTGGTCAATTTTTTATGTTTTTAGATATGGTTTTGTTGTTTTCTCAAATCCTTTAGATGCTGAACGCGCAATCAATGCAAAAAAACATGAGATAACACTTGAAGGAAGGTAATTTTATTTAAATCCTAATTTAAAGCTTATAAGTTTATTTAAACTTGTAATTAAAAAATGTTTATTTAAAAAAAGTAATTATCAGTACCTACTAATTGTCTAAGAAATAAAATTTTATTTTTTTAAATTTGATTAAAATCTTTATTGTGATGATTGTTATGTATTTTTTTATTTTCTCTTCATAGATTACTGGTTGTGAAAAAAGCTGAGAAGCGAAATGGAGGTTGTTAATGGTATAATGAATGCAAAAAAAAAAAAAAAAAAAAAAAATGTCATTTGTGTGTAACTTGTAGTTAGATGGGGAATAACTAAGCTTTTTTCTTAATCATACAAATAAAAAGCAATAAGAATCAATATTTTTATCTTATAATTATATATACAAGATATAAAATATATCTTATATAAGATATGTTTTATATCATGTGTAAAAATAACTACAATATATGTGTATATAAGGGTTGTAATGTTTTGGCATCCCCAGTTGGCCCTATGAAAAATAAATGAAATGTGGTTTGAATAACTAAAAAGTCTTTAATTTTTTTTGTTTTAAAAAAAGTTGTTTATTAATGTTTGCAACTAAAGCAAATATCTTGTCACTATTTGGGACACATAAGGTCGTCAACTTCTAAGTGAAAATACAAAAAAGACTCTACTGTTATATACTAATATTAATTATATATATTATATATATTAAGTATTAAACGATTAATTATAAAAAGGACAAAAGTCTAATTAAAAAGCTTATGATTTACAGGTAAGAAAGGTCATAACTGAACTGTATGTTTTTGTCTGAAGTGTTAAAGTTATTATTGTTTTATATTATTTGTTTATTATTGTATACCGTTTAGTAGAGTTATTTGTTTTATACTTGGTTTATATTTAATGATAGTTAATACCATTTAACTTTAGTTAGTAATATTTAATGAGAATTTATACTTGTTTTAAACTTAATATTTTTCAAAAAAGTTACTCAGCATGACTCTTTATTACATTTGGGTCCCATATATCAGTAAAAAAAACTTTTTTTCAAATGTAAACCTGAGTCTCAAAAAATCTAGAATTTACAGAGATTTTAGAAAAATTAATGTTTTTTATATTTTGGATATAAAATCCTAATTTTATATACAAAAAACAGCATTTTTTAACAAAGATTAATGAGGTCATTTTATAGCAACCTTTTTTTTAAAAAGGTTTTTTATAAAAAAGATTGTAAAGTTTAAAATTTCTATAAAACTGGGAATGTTTTCTTACTATTGTTTTTTGCATAATAAAGAGATGCAGTCTAAGCAAATGCTAACTTTACAATAAATTTCACTAGATGTCAGTAGTGATAGATGTCACTAGATGTCGGTTTTCACTAGATGTCAGTAGTGAACGATAATCTGAGAAAAGTAAAGTGTTGACATTAGTTTAACAGATAAACCATTTAAACCATTTAAAAGTATGTTTTAGTTGGAAGTCATTTATAGTAAAATATTTTCAAGTTACAAAATTTTTAACAAGATTTTATAAACCTATTAATAGATAAATCACAATTTATTATAAAAAAAAAACACTGGATCTTCTTGACCCGTTTTTTCTTTTTAACAGCTTTTATTCTTTTTAATGTATCTTAATAAATCTTCTATCTGACTTATTCTGCTATCTCTTAATGATGGGTACAGCTTAACAACTTTGAAATATTTTCTTACTGTTCCGTTCTTTTAAGACCCAGGTTGATATACTTTTAAATAAAATTTTTGTTACTGATATTGATTTGGGACTGAGCTTGTATATATGCAATTTAGGATCATTTAGGATTAAAATAACCCAAGTGTATATATGCAGTATTTTCTATAGGATGGTAAAGAAAAAAATCATTATTGCTCAAAAATAATTGTTATTTTGTATAATAAATAATAGTTTAGAATTTATTGCATAAAAGCTATGGATTTGTAACATCAAAAATTATATATTTTTTGATTTTTCAAATATATTTTTTAAAGATGTTTTAATAAAATATAATACTTTAGTGAAAATAATTTTATAAAATATGATAATCATTATGAAGAGTTTAAAAATTCTAAGATCCAGGTTGACATACCTTTAAACATTTTTTTTTGTGCTAATGTTAGGAGACCTTGTTTTTTGTTATGAATGTATATTTAAAAATTATATATATATATATATATATTTTTAAATAAATTCACCTCCTCAAGGCCGAGAAAGACACTGCAGATAAGGAGGCTACTTAGTTCTGGTTATAAACCCTCTCTCAACTCTATAACTCAAAGCAAGGTTGCTGCGCGGAGAAACAAGTTGAGCACGGTACTACCAGGGTTGTAGTGGGAATCTTTTTGAATATATATATATATATATATATATATATATATATATATATATATATATATATATATATATATATATATATATATATATATATATATATATATATATTAGAGATGTGCTGGGTACCCGACGACTTTTTCAGATGTGCTGGTTTACCTTGCAGTTATTGGAGGTGTCTGGTAATTTTGGAGGTACTTTTTAATCTTTGAAGGTGCCTGGCAATCTAGAAACGCAAAAACTAGTGTTGGTTACTTGGAAAACCCTGCAGCCTACCGAGTACAAGGTAATTTTAAATTACCCGTTGAACATACATAAATTACAGGGTACCTAGTATCTTCCAGGATTCTAGAGCATTTGAAAAATTTACGTAGCTACTTCTATTCTTGTATTTGGGAGATAAAGGGTAACCAGACAATTCCAAATATTAGCTAGCAACTCTAAAAATTACCAGATACCTAGAATAACACAAAATTTTTCTGGGTACCAGGCACATCTCTAATATATATATACAGTACCTGGCCAAAATATTAAGATCACCTACAATTTTTGTGTATTTTGAACTTCCAGGGTTTGTAAAAAGTATAAAAAAAGTATAATTGCAACATTAGTTATATTTTATTAATAAAACATGTTTCCTTAATAACAAAATAATATTTCAAAATCAATATACACACATTTTAAGAAGCAATTACTCTTTTTGATTGCAACTCATAAAAATTTTTTAATATTTTGTCATTCCTCCTTTCAAGGAAATGACTTTAGCTATTCGGTCTGGCGTACTTTCAATACAGTTTGTTGCTGCTGTCTTAATTTTTTCATTGTGGTGCCAATGATAAAGTAATTTTTCAATCAAATCCTTTTTATTTGTTGAAACCTTGAAAGAGATTTTCTTTTTAAAAATATTCCACTAATTCTCAATCGGATTCAGGTCAGGAGAGTTCCTTGGCCAATCTAAAACGGGGATATTTTTTGTTTTAAAGAAGTTTTTAATCCTTTTAGCTTTATGGCATGGAGTAATATCATGCATAAATGTAAATGTATTGTTATTTGGAAACCATTCTTGTATTTGGGAGATAAGTTGGCTCTCCATAACCTCCTGATACTGTATTTGGCTCATCATCCCATTGACAATATATAGTTTTCCTGTGCCTTTACCACTGATAACTGACCACAACCTAACTTTAGTTGGATGTTTAATAGTTTGTACATTGCAATCTGGATGATATTTTTTGTTTGATCTTCTTCGGACGAAGGTGGCTTTGTCCAACAAGATCTCAAAAGTTGATTTGTCTGAAAACACAACTGAAAAAATCATCATAGTGAGGTTGTAGTTAAGTTTATATCAACATTTAAACACTTTTTTAATAATATTTCATTCAAAATTGAAAAACTTACACGTTCCCAATCTCCAATAGTCATATACTTATGATTTTTTGCCCATTACAATCTCTTTTATTTTATTTTTTTTTATTTTTCAGACATATATCTCTTATAATTCTGTCTGTCCTGGGAGTGGCTTTATGTTTTAACCTACTCCATCCTTTCCTTTTTGGAGAAAGAGTGATATAAAATGTATTAAAAATAATAAAACACTTTTCACTCAAAAAAAACTGTTAAAATATAAAAAAAAAACAGATCAACCACATTTTTTTTTAAATTGACAAAAGTTCACATTGTTGATTTAAAACACACCTAACTTTACATTGGTCATGATTATAAAGAAATTTTCTTTTCTATTTTATTCAATAGATGTCAGTATTGTATAATAAGTTAGTAATAATAATATACTCACCTTAAAATTACTTTAAAATAACTTTGAAAATAAAATATGGAAAAACTGAGGTGATATATATATATATATATATATATATATATATATATATATATATATATATATATATATATATATATATATATATATATTTTTATATATATATATTTATATATATATATATATATATATATATATATATATATATATATATATATATATATATATGTATATATATATATATATATATATATATATATATATATATATATATATATATATATATATATATATCATGTGATACCTAGAAATCCGGACAAAACTAAAAAACTTATAACTTTAAGGCTAAAGGTGCAATTTTATTTCTATAAAAAGATAGTTAAAGTTAAGTATATGAAGCTTCAGATTTAAAAAAATTATAAGTTTGTCCACTCGGCTGAAAGAAGCCTTTCCAAATCGATGTACACGATCTTGACTGATCTGTTTTATGCAGTAGTTAATCCTGTCAGTGAGCTGGTCCACAGTTTTTGTTCTCCAGCCATGAACAAATATTATATTCAAAATTACTATTCGTTTGAGTTCTGACCAAAAGTCTTCGATTGATCAGAGTTCTGGCACATTGGCAGGGTTTCGCTCCTTAGGCATTAATTCTATGTTATTTGCTTGGAGGAACTCCTGCGTCTTCTTTGCGTAATGAGGCGTAGCGAGGTCAGGCCAGAAAACAATCTCATCGTTCTTATGAACTGTTGCGGAGTTCGATCCAGAACTTTTTTTTTTTTATATTTGATTGTTGTCTTGGTGCTAATTGTTTTTGACACCATACTCGCGGGCTAGCTTATGCTGGCTAATTCTGTCACTATGATCGATTCGCTTTTTCAGCATGGTGATTAACTTTGTGTTCATCTTGATTGCCACCCGTCCAGTTCCATGCTGTCTTTCAGGGCCTATTTTGAGCTTCTTGCACTGCAGAGTATTATACAGGGTCAACCTTGATGCGCCTTCGATCATAAAGTGTCTCACAATCTCACTTTTCTTCATATCCAGATGCAAATCGATTTACGGGTACACGCGCTTTCTGAGGTCTTCCTGTTTTGAGATAATTTTCTTTGCCATTATAAATAATTGTTTGCTAAAAGATATATTGCAATTTGTAGAAAATTAAATTTACTACAACATAGCATAAGTTGCAACAATTTTGCAACACTCCTTAAATAATTTGTTGACCAAACTTTTGTCCAGTTTTCTAGGTATCACATGTTATATTCAAAATTTAAAATTTGAAATTAGCATCAAGGTATATATAATATCATCAATTCATGGAGTCGCCATTATTGTCAAATATGAAAGGAAATCAGCATCATATCTTAACTTTACTTTTAAATGCTCAAGGTGTTTATATTCAAAAATTTATATAAAAATTTATTAAAACAGTTAAAAAAACAAATAGGTAAACATCCAGATAAAGTTTTTATGACATTATTAATTTTCTTAGAAACAATGAATTTTACACTTTCCAGTAAATATTTTGATTGTACTTTACAAGTATGCCACCTGCTTTAACTGTCAACATTACTGCCACCATTGCTTTAACTGTAGAAATTTTCAAAAGGATTCATGTATCTGTTTGTGTCAATAACAGTGCAGAGCAGAATGAGGTGAAGAAAGTAATTAAACATACTGCAAGTTCTATAAGCAACAACTGAAAGTAAAATATGAAATTCCTTATAAGCAACAACTAAAAACAGTAATTTCTTTAATTACCTATGTTGACAAGCAGAACAATGTAATTACTACCACATGAGAATTACAGCTGCTACAGCCTGGTCTAAAATACATTTTTGGCCTGGCTTTATTTATTCATTTAATCATATCTGGAACCCCTAACAAGAGTAGCAAACTATTATTTGTGTTTGTGATGTTATAATGCACACACTCATTTTTGTAATGATTATCTTCTCTAACATCTTTTATGTTCCAAAACTTCACAAATATGGAAATAAAATCGATATTGCTCAAAATATCATCTTTTTTGCTTGATATTTGATATGATGATTAAACTTTATGTATTTCTTCATTATTTTTAGAAGCTTTTGATTTACTCTATTTTTAACAGTATTAAATAGTAACAGTTTAGGATATGGGCTGTTCATTATTTTAATAGTTTGCATTGTTTTTAAAGAATTTCAGAATATGTACCTTTTTTTGTTTTGAATTTTGATTGAATCATTTTACTAAAAACTTTGGCCCATCAAATAGACATTTTACCATTCAGTAGAATGTATATCAATGCACCTTCATGATAAGTTGATATAAACTTCATCGACCTTTATATATGTTGTGTATTTTCAACAATTCTTATAACATTTTGCAAAAATTCCAAAGTTTATAGCATTTTTCAAAAAATCTTAAAAACTTATGATCAGATCTTTTAAATGGTTTTTGCCAAATTTTTAGTTATTCAAGATAAAATAAAATTAACATTAAATCACCAAAAATTTATCAATGTAAAATATTATTTTTTTTGAGTGAGTGTGAACAACATTATTTTGAGTGAGCGTGAACACAATATTGAACAAAAATAATTTGATACCATGTTTATCTAGAGATTTTTATGGTATCATGCATGTAAAATTGGTTTCCAGATAAAATATTTGGTATTGTACTGTCAAAGTATATATTTCTATAACACTGCAACATGTTTTGATTTCCATTTGATTTTTTATAGAAAATGTCATTTTTAACACAAAATACTATTTCTGTCACAAGTTCAATTTATAACATTAAAATAAAATCAAAACATTTAAAATTAATAGCTTAATCAATAATTATTTTTTCAATTAACAAGTTGTTTTTTTTTATACTCAAAATATTTCATGACTTGTTGTCTTAAGTTATTACATGTTCAGAATTAACTTAAGTTCTATCTTTTTAGGGAAAGATAAGAACAAGGAAGTGTTAAAAGTAGGCTTTCTTTTATTAAAGTTTAGTTTTTATTGAATTTGTTTACTGAATTTATGTTTCTAAGTGTGACCATTAGTTTATTAATGTTTCCATAATAATAAAGACAAAAAAAGTTTGTCTAGAACAAAAACAAGCACATCGCTGAACTAGTATAGAAAATTGAACTGTAAACATAATAGTTTGTTTGAACATCAGCATTTTTTTTCCCTGAGTTTTATCTACCTTAAAAGGCTTCTTGGAAACCCTTTTTTAATATAGTTATTGCACTATATACTAGCTGTCTAAACTCATAAAACATGGGTCTTGCTGAGTCTATTCTGCATTGACCATTTTGACATATTTTTTAGTATATGGTGAAAAGATAATTACAAACATATATAGAGAGAAAAAACCAAAAAATTAAAAAAAAAAATTTATAACATAAATAACTTTTTAAATAATATCTAAATAATGATTATAGTATTAGCCTTGTTGTTTATTTATTATAATTTAAAAATTTTAAAAATACCAGTCTTTACTAAACCAACCATTTCTATACTTATCTATCACCGTTAATTTCTATTCTTATTTTTTATTTACTTCAATAATTCAATAATCGCATATAATTAACAGTTTAGTGTACTGTTAATATTGTTATTTTGTAGGGTTCAAATCCTCCCCTAAGCATGATAAATTTTTAAATTTTTTAAAATTTATCTGTATATATTAATGGCATATATATATATATATATATATATATATATATATATATATATATATATATATATATATATATATATATATATATATATATACATATATATATATATATATATATATATATATATATATATATATATATATATATATATATATATATATATATATATATATATATATATATATATATATATATATATATATATATATATATATATATATATATATATATATATATATATATAGCAAAAAAGAACTCTAATCGCAAAAATAAAGTTTCAAAGTTTTCTCATATTATATGTATATTATATACAATTGTTCCATTTATCACCCACAAACTCAACTTATGCTACAGCTGTTGACATTTACAAATGTTTGTATATAGCGCTATACAAATGGCAGAACTAAAAAGATGATGTAATTTTAGCGAACAGAAATTATCAAGAGAAGGGAGAGTTATGACTAATTTAAAATTGGAAAGTACTAAATAAGCACAACAAAGCTATGCTTATTTAGTGAGTTTCATGTTAATTAAATATTCTAAAACAAATTATTTATTGAGATATTAGCAAAAAATTTTGTAATTTATATTTAAAGTAAGTTCTGGCTAAAAAAGTAAGGATGTTATTAGAAGAACCAGCCTAAGTATGACAACAGTTTCTTTGCAAGGGTGAATAACCCTATTGTATACAGCCTCATGAAGTTTAAAAATAATTACTTCTAAGAATAGTTTTGCCTTGCAATGCTATGTTGAATGCCATCTAGATATACAAAAATTGTTTAAAGAAGACATACTTTGCTATAACATATCTGTTGTACACAAATGTTTCAGTTATTACTTTGCTCTAGTTTTGTAGCGATAATGAGCAAAAAGGCATGTGTACATTGGGGAGAGGTACATATGCCGTTTTGCTCATATAAAAGGGATAAAATATTTATAAAGGTGGAGAATGAAATAAAATTAAGCCACTTTAAAGGTAAAATCATTTATACAAATGCAAAGCATTATGTGACCAAAAATGGAACCTTGAAGTTACTAGAAATGAAGGAGAGTTGTTCATTAAAAAAGAATTCCCAAGACACACTATATTAAGTGAGCTTATGAAGAACACTAGCATGCTTAACTTTATCAAATCCTTTGATATGTTCAGGGATTATCTTTTTCCAGATTTCCAAAAAGTTTTTTGTAAACATAAATTTAAATATGTATTTGTATTTTATTTGCTTTTTAAATTTTTCTGTCAGTCCATACAAAAAATAAGAAAAGTTTCAACAAAGTTGAAAAAGACATCAGCTTAAAGTTAAATTAAGGCCAAATAAGAGATAGAAATGTCCAGATTTTAAAAATAGGGTCGGAATAATTATGTCTAGAGCAGTAGTCTTAGCCTCAAATTTTCAAAGTTTTTGTGTAAGTGAAGCTTATGATTGTCTTACTTAGTCTTACTTAGCCTCACTGTTTCTATCTAATACATGGTTTAGTATTTCTGTTATAAAAATCAGCAGGATAGTAGGAGTAAAAATGGTTGTCAAAGTGCAGGAGTTGATTGATTGTCAGAAAGCATGAGTTGATTGGTTGTCAAAGAGCAAGAGTTGATTGGTTGTCAGAGAGCATGAATTGATTGGTTGTCATAAAATAAATAAAAGCAGTAAAATATCAGAGAGTTGATTGGAAAACAAAGTAAACAAAAACCCATAAATAGAATCAAGAAGATACAACTTTCTTATCTTAGTTAGGAGACTGTAACACTGTAACACTGGTTTACATTACGCTAGCTTATTAAATGAAGAAATGCAAGACTTGTTAGCAGAAATTTTATGCTTACTTCTTAAGTTTTTGCATTTTACAAAAAAAAGGCAAAAAGAGGCCTTATATAAGACTGTATTCAGAGACAATTAATATCTACCCAAAATAAATTTTTTTATTAAGACATCATTTCTAGCCTTTAATCAACTAAGAACCCCAAGACGCTTTTACTCTCAAAGGGTTATTTTAAGTCAAAGTTAATTTCTCCTAGTCTTTGCCTTCAGGACATGTGGCAGGTTGTACTGGATTACATGTTACCAATAGCAGGGAGATTGTTATGATTCCGACCCTGACCTGACATCAAAGTTTTAAATGCTGAAAAATATAGTAAGGATGATTTTACCACCAAGACATTCACAAAATTGTTAAAAGTAAATTTTTCTTTAAAAAAATGTGTGCTGTTTTTATTTTCCTAATTTTATTTTAATTTTTCTTTTTACATCAAATTTTTTACATCATTTTTTACATCAAGAATTAGTTATATGTTTATTTAATTGTGTTAATTTAATTTTAAATTTTTATTATCAAGGAAGCTGCTAATTACTTCATGGCAGAAGAGGAAAAAAAAACAATAGATACTTTAAAAGTAGAAGAACAAAACAAGTTTGCATTTTTGTTTTGTATTATAATTGTCTTTTTTAATTTTTCACATTTAAAAAATCCTGCTATATTGTTTTTTCCTAATTTTTCTCCTAAATTTGATTATCTATCCTCTGTAATATTTAAATTTCTTGTAATTTTGTTGTCACATTGTTAATGCTTTTTTAATGCTAATAATATGTTTTATTACAGTTGTTATATCAATAAGCTGCATGATGATCTTTTCTTTCATATATTTTCTTATCTTGACCTAAAAACGAAAATCAAGATGGAGTTAGGTTTGTTATATTTTATTATAACATTCAAAATACACAGAGGATAATTGAATAATATGCAATGAACTGATATGTTCTTAGTTTTATTGTGTTTCTCAAAGACTATTTTTTTAAGCGCACTCTTATTTCACCTTTACTTCACTGAAACTGCATCCCCTATGCGGCAGATTTAGTTAAAGCATATATTTAATTGTCCTGAATAAAATTATTTAATTAAGGTTTAAAGTGTTTTTAACTCTAATTTTCAAGCGTGCAAACATAAGTGTTATGGAATTTTATTTGATCATGGAAAAAGTCATGGAATTCTGACATTTTTATTGAAAGTCAAGGAAAATTCATGGAACTTTTTAAAATGATCTTTATTTTTTTCTGCTTGTGATATTTTTTAGGATGCAAAGGAAAGTACTAGTATGTCTAGTCTAGGTCCTTTTTGAAAAAGATATTTTTGTACTGTAAGTTATAGATTATCAGAGAAGTAAAAAAAAAAATTTTTTTGTCAGATATGATTTCAGAACTTTCGACCAAATGCTTTGTGCATGGCAAGTACTGAATAATTTACTGATTAGTGGTTTATCATAAAAGTTTATGATGAGTCATGAAAAAATCATGGAAAAGTCGTGGAAAAGTCATGGAGTTTCATTTTCAAATTTTAGTAGCCACCCTGTATGATGTCATGGTGGATTTTATTTATTTATTTAAAACTCCTCTACATAATTTTTTAATTATTTAAAACTCCTCTACATAATTACTTTTTTATTAACAATATATTTTACATGGTTTTATTTCTCAACTGTTTAATTGCTTAACTTTTAATTGCTTTTAATTGTTTTGTGCGGGCAAAGTGACAAAATCTCCTTTAGAGATAAACAGCCTACATAATTAAAAAAAATGATTTTTATTGTTTAAACAAAGTTAAAAAAGATTCAGAATAAATAATAAGCTAATGTCTTGTCTTTTTATTATAGGAGTTCCCTATAAACATTTTAATTTTATTTTTTTATTTATTTAGCTCTTGCACAAAGCAGGAGAACATTGATCATCTCAAATATAAGACTCTATAATAAGTAAATATTATATAACAAGTAAATATTATATAACAAGTTACGTATTTTATTTAATTTGAAAAATATCACAAATATTTTTTTGAATTTAGTAAAAGTTATACAAATAAACGCCATTTGCTGATTGTAGGAGAAAAAATAACTATATCTTAGTATGATATCTTTAAAAAAAATACTACAATGATGTCATATGCTAAACCTGTTATGAATTAAACGCACTTGAAATGAAGTAGCATGTCTGTAGATTGCAGCGTGTATTATAAAGACTCCAAGAACCAAGAAAAAATAGAAAAGGCAAGCTTCGACTAAAACAAGAATTTTAGTTTTATTGATATGTGTATTATTTAGTTTTATTCAAAAAAATTTAGTGCAATATATCTTTAATATGAATACAACTTGTCTAGACATTAATGAAAGTTAGGAGGACATTAAAAATAAAGTAAAAAAAGATTTTACAATCATAAGCTTCACTTACACAAAAACTTTGAAAATTAGGGACGTTGAATTGGAAACAAATTTCCAGGAGATAATATTAGAATCCCTTTTATCATATTTTTGAGAGATTCTCTAGGGGGATGAACCTGACCTTAATTATTTAATTTGATCTGGTGCTTTGCATAATAGATGTAACTAATTTTAGAATAAAAATAATTTCTTAATCAAAATAATATAAGTACAATTCACATCAAAATATGAAGTTTTAGAAAAAGTTTTTTGAAAGTTTTAGTTATTCTCAATTTTTTTTTATTTTTAATTATTATTCTTTTAAATAAATTTTGCTTAAGAGAACATTGGTGCAATTCAGAAGATGTAAATTCTTTTACAAATTTTAAGCTACCAGTTTTTAATTTAATTTTGTTAGCCCGAAAAACAAATATGCGTGACAGAGGCATTCTTATTTTTGTTTCCAATACTTTGCGATATTTTACCTGACATGACTTGAGCATTTCTCATGCCGATAAAAAAGTTTTAAAAATGAATATATATATATATATATATATATATATATATATATATATATATATATATATATATATAATTATGAAATAATTATTTATATTTAATTAGGGTAAATTTAATCTGCTTTGCCAAGTTATAATCATCCTGCTTCTAAGATTCTGCAATAGATTATATGTAAAAAAACCTTTAGCGTTAAAAGTTGTTAAAAAGTGCTTGTGGTGACTGACTCACAGCATGTTGACTACACCAGGAAGTTCTGAAAATTTTAGGCTTCATTTGTTAAACAATTTTGTTACAGAAATATATAAAAACAAAACAATATAACATGTCACGGAATTAGTCAATTACTTGCCACCTTGTTTTAAATTCTGGTAGTAGTAGTAGTAGTAGTAGTAGTAGTAGTAGTAGTAGTAGTAGTAGTAGTAGTAGTAGTAGTAGTAGTAGTAGTAGTAGTAGTACCCAGTTAAAGGATGCTTATTGTTGAAACAAAGTTATTATTTGTTTATATTACTTAAAAAGTAATACAATATACAGTAACACTAAGTTTGTTTTACTATAGTAAGTTGGCTTTTTAACTGTTAGTTTGTTTAATGACGGTAAGTTAGTTTTATAAAAGTAAGTTAGTTTTAGAAGCCATTGCATCTTTGATCAAAAGTATTATAAAACAGAAATGATTATAGTTTAGTGTCAACTTCTGTTTTTTGCAAATGTTTGTTACAAAATAGGTGGTCTGATGAGTTTTCTTTTAACTATTTCTTTTATTTAAAAGAATATTTACATAGGTTTTTAATACCATTCTCATTTTTTCAAACATCATTGTTTAAAAAAAAAAAAAGAATTTAAGTTTTAGGAGATATAGAGAATGAGAGACTTTCAAAGTGAAAGTCAAACTCCATATGTACTCACTGGCTCAAGCACCCCCCTTTTCTTGTTCACAATTGTATGTTTTTAGGTACCCCCTCCCATGAACCTGTGCACGTACTTTATGGAGGACCCCTTTGTCAACTTTGGAGTTTCTCATAGTTTTTTTAAATACCAAGATGCTATTTCTATTGTTTGTCACTTTAATTAAATTGCTATATCTTTATGTAAACCTAATAGCTTGTGAGACATCCCAAGGTTCTATTTTAGGACCATTATTGTTATATTGTTTGAACAGCCGTAGAGCAGTGGTTATTGCACTTGCATCAGAAGTTAGAGGTTTGTGGTTCAACACCACCTCTGGGAAAGTTTTAAATAACATTGGTAAGGAACGAGGTGTGAACTTTCTTTTAAATGCTCTTCCGCAGTGCTCTGTGATATGACCATAAGGACTTCTTAGTGCACCTAAAATTAAAAAAAAATTAAAAATGTGCAGGCCAAAAGAAGTAACCTAATTTTTTTTCCTATATAACATTTATTTATCTGATCAAACAAGTTATTATTTAAGTGGAACTCTTGGTAGAAAAAGTTGTTCCAGTATTGCTGGGCAGGATGAATAATGCATGTAGTTGATATTAAGACTTTCTATACAGTTGACCATTATACTAAGATCTTAATGAATTGTTCCATTTCAGCAAGTGGGACAAGTTTCCTTATAAAATCAGATACAAAATTACAATAATCTATATTTTATGAAGTTGCAGCTATGTATTCATTATACTTCATAATGTTGCAGCCATCTATTTTTTATAATTTATAAAGTTGCAAAAATCTATTTTTATACTGTTACAATGATTATTTATAGTCATTCTAACTACTCAAGTTAGAAAACTGTAGATGTTAAGGTTTTGAAAAAAAAAACACGAAAGAATTAAAACAATTTTTTAAATCCAAGTGTCTTTTGTTAGTTTATTTCAGATCAGTACTGAGTATTTTTTATTGTTTATTTCAGATCAGTACTGAGTATTTTTTATTGTTTATTTCAGGTCAGTACTGAGTATTTTTTATTGTTTATTTCAGATCAGTACTGAGTATTTTGTTAGTTTATTTCAGGTCAGTACTGAGTATTTTGTTAGTTTATTTCAGGTCAGTACTGAGTATTTTGTTAGTTTATTTCAGATCAGTACTGAGTATTTTGTTAGTTTATTTCAGATCAGTACTAAGTATTTTTTATTGTTTATTTCAGATCAGTACTGAGTATTTTTTATTGTTTATTTCAGATCAGTACTGAGTATTTTTTATTGTCATCGGACTAGTAGGAAGACCATCTAAGTTTACTAGTTACTACCCTTTTCCACAAATAAATTGTAGATTTTATATCAGTGATCTCTTTCATCATTGTGAGTTGACTTTAGAATGGCTAAGGGACTTGTCCCCATTAATCAATTTTAATGTTTTTTATCCATACTAATTTCTAAAAAGGTGTGTAACAACTTAAAAAAGCTGTTCTCTGTGTATTTTTTTATTATAGTTCTTTATTTTAGATTAAATCTATCTAAAGAACAAACCAACTAATGATATATTTTTCAATTTAAATTTGATTGCTGGATCTTTTTTGTTCCACATTTAATTATTTTTTTATTTTTTAGTTTGTAAAAAATGGCGTCAAATTTCTCTTGATAATTGGAACTGTATTCACTATCTCAACTTTAAAGGCTTTTTCAACACTTCAAACAGATTATCAGGTTTTGTTTTATAAATAAAACTTAATTTCTTAACTTTACCTTGATTTTGTAATGGTCAATGTTTCAATTTGTGACATATTGATTTATCAATAAATAGTTTAAGTTGTTTCGCTAAATTCAATTCATTTTTTTTATTTCTTTCATTATCAGTTATACAATCAGTGTTCTTTGTCATCATCAAAGCTATCATTTAAGGGGTAAACAGATTCAATTTAAGGGATAGACAGATTCTATCTGTTGACCAGCCTCGCACCCCTTCTTCATCTATTAGGCTGGCGCAGATGTATTTTTAATACATTGTTTCCAGTTTAGGATGTTGAATGCTGGATCTTCTTGACTCGATTCATGGGTTTTGCTTGTGTCTCTGTTTTAATGACTAAGCAACTCATTCTATTATCTCCAAATGAGGGTACAGCTCTAAAACTCAGTTTTATGGTTCTGAGGCCGACTGGTAGTCAGGTTTCCCAAACTCTGTGGTAGGTCTCAGAGAGGCTAATTCCATCAACAGCTGGAAAATATCAGAGTACTAACAGTACCATGTCGCGCATAGATGGTGTCCCTGTTTGTACTTTTGGTGTGCATTGCCAAGGCCACATTGGAGCCCTTTGTTACGGCTTAGGGTTTATTAGTGGAAATGAGGCAATTGCTTGAGCTATAAAACAGTGTACTGAGTACTATCTATGTTTCGAGTCAAGTTCTTTAACAAATTTAAAAATGAATAAAGTAACTAAAACTATAAAACACAAAAAACCACAGTCATCACCAAGTTCGCTAAACCTATCATTCACCAATATTTGTGGTCTTCGAAGTAACTTTTCTTCTGTTGAGTCTTATCTCTTGCAAAGTTCACCAGACCTACTTGCTCTTTGTGAGACTAATTTGAGTTCAGCTGTCTCATCTTGTGATCTTCCTTTAATTCGTAAAGACTCCAATAGTCATACGCTTGGCCTGGGCATTTACATTCGTAAGAATTCACCCATTTGTCGGGAAACTAGGTTTGAGTCCACAGACTACTCTTTTATGTGCTTTCATTTAGCACCACTTCACTCTATTACCTTTCTCTTTGTTCTATATTGCTCTCCCTCATCTCAAGACTGCACTATTCTTGATGTTATTTCTGATTATATTGACCATTGTTGTTGTCGGTGACTTTAATGTTCATCACACTGAATGGCTTGGCTCTAGTGTCATTGACTCTGCAGGCATTAAGGCCCACAACTTTTGTCTTTCTCAATCCCTAACTCAAATAGTCAACTTTCCAACTCGCTTTCCAGACAACCCGAATCATTTACCTTCTCTACTCGACTTGTCTTGTTTCTGATCCTAGTCAGTGCTCAGTTTCTTCACACTCATCGTTAGGTGCATCTGATCATGGTTTGGTCTCTCTAAAACTATTATCTCATTCTTCTTTACCATCAGAATCCCCCTATCATCGTACATCTTACAACTACCTTAAAGCTGACTGGGACTCTTTCCGTGATTTTCTTTGTGATGGCCCCTGGGTAGAAATCTTTTGTCTCCCTGTTGACAAATGTGCTTCTTACATAACTTTGTGGATTCAGGCTGGCATGGAATCCTTTATTCCCTCTCGACGATTCCAGGTCAAGCCTCACTCTTCTCCATGGTTTTCCTCACATTGTGCTGCTGCAATTGCCAATCGAAACCATTACTTCCATATCTATCAGCAAAACAATTCTCCAGAAAACAGACATCTGTTTGTTACTGCTAGGAACCATTTTAAAAAGGTTTTGTCTAACGCCAAAGCCCACTATTCTCAGATCATGAAATCTCGTATTTCATCACAAAAATTAAGCTCTCGTGACTTCTGGAGAATCTTTAATAGTATCAATAATAAGGGCAAGTCTGTAATTCCACCTCTTTTGTACAGTTCAGACTTTGTCACCTCACCTAAAGACAAAGCTGAATTGTTTGCCAAGAACTTTTCATCAATATCATCTCTTGATGCCACTAGTTGCTTTTCATCAATATCATCTCTTGATGCCACTACCTGATATAGTTGTCAAACAGGTTGATCCATTGCTCGACATTTGTATCACTCCAACTTCTGTTTCTAAAGTGATTTCCCGCTTAAACTCTTCTATAGCTTGCGGCCCGGACAACATACCTGTTATAGTCTTGCAGAAGTGTTCTCCAGAGCTGTCGTCTATCCTTTCAAAACTATTTTACAAGTGCTTATCAGAGTCTTGTTTTCCAGCCTGCTGAAAAGCAGCATCTGTTATCCTTATTTTTAAAAATTCTGGAGAGCGATCCGATTCGTCTAACTACCGTCCCATTAGTCTTCTTCCTATCATAAGCAAGGTTTTTGAATCTTTAATTAACAAACACTTAATCTCTCACCTCAAATCTTTTTTCTAATCATCAATCATCAATCATTTTTCTAATTTTCTAATCATCAATATGGATTTAGATCTTCTCGTTCTACGGCTGATTTGCTATCAGTAATAACCGATAGGTTTTATCGCGCATTAGATAAAGGTGGAGAGGTTAAGGCCATCGCTCGTGACATTTCTAAAGCGTTTGATAAAGTTTGGCATGCTGGTCTTCTCCATAAGCTTTCTTCTTATGGTGTATCTGGAAACATCTTTAAGATTATTGAATCCTTTCTTTCCAATCATAGTATAAAAATTGTCCTTGATGGGCAGCACTCTTCTTCTTATTCTGTAACCTCAGGGGTTCCCCAAGGTTCAATCCTTGGCCCTATACTCTTTTTAATTTACATTAATGATCTTCCAGATATTCTCACATCTAAAGTGGCATTGTTCGCTGATGATATTACCATTTATTCTTGTCACGATAAGAAGCCAACTCCCTCTGATTGCTTGCAGGGGGCATCTGAGCTTGAAAAGGATCTCACTTCTGCTACAGCATGGGGCTCACAGTTGCTGGTGAACTTTAATTCAGATAAAACTCAATTTTTTTCAGCCAATCGTTGTCGCAATAATTTAGACCTTCCTATATTTATGAACGGTAATGTACTCGATGAGTCTCCTACCCTTTATCTTCTAGGATTAACTTTTACTTCTGATCTTTCTTGGAAACCTTATATCAAATCTGTTGCAAAATTAGCATCTGTTAAAGTTGCTTCTCTTTATCGAGCTCATCACTTTCTTACTCTGGATTCTATTCTCTATCTCTATAAATCTCAAATCCAGCCTTGTATGGAATACTGTTGCCATATCTGGGGCGGATCTTCAAATGATGCCCTTTCTCTTTTAGATAAGGTGCAAAAACGCATTGTAAACATAGTTGGACCTGCTCTTGCAGCCAACCTTCAACCTCTGTCACATCGTCGTAATGTTGCTTCTCTTTCTCTTTTCTACAAATATTATAATGGGCACTGCTCTAAAGAGCTAGCGTCTCTTGTGCCATCTACTAAAATTCACTCTCGTGTTACTCGTCATTCAATTAAGTCTCATCCTTTTTCTGTTACTGTTCCTAAGTGCTCCAAAAACTCTTATTCGTCTAGTTTTCTTCCTCGAACATCAGTTCTTCGGAATTCGCTTCCTTCATCTTGCTTTCCTGATTCCTATAATTTGCAATCTTTTAAGTCATCTGTTAATCGTTATCTTGCTCTACAATCTTCATCTTTTCTCTTCAAGTAACTTCCATTACTAGTTAATGGTTGCTTGCAGCCTTGTTGGAAGTAAAAAAAAAAAAAAAATTTGAAACTACCAGAAATATTTTTTGGATAATGGCAAGGCTAGTTGTCTTTTCTTTTTTTTTAGCTTGTTGCAATATTGATTCCCTAATACAAGATATTTGGATTTGACAAATATTTGATGAATTTTAATCGAGGTTTCTTATTTCATTAGTTCAATTTTTAAAAAGCTGTTTAACAAGTTGGATTATGGGTAATTAGCTTCATCAGCTTTTTTACCTAAAATATGGTCAATCACAGTTTTAGAATACAAAATATTGACATCTTTGTTTGAAAGAGCACTAATGACTTTTTTAGTAATTTTAAAACAATACAAATCCTCAAGCTTGTTTTTAGTCAAATTAAAGTTGATATCCATTTTTTTTAAATTGATATTCATCATTTGCAACTCCAAAAAAAAAAATGCTCAAGCATTTTATCTTTTTCTTGAATTACAAATCAAAGTGCTTTTTTTTTTCCAAACTTCTTAATTGTATTTAGTTATCATCATCATTACTCACTGGTAATCTATAATTTTTTTACCAATTTTCTTTTTTTAATTTTGAATAATGGAATGTATAAGTATATAAATAGATATATTGATGTGTTTTAACTTTTTTTTTTAAAAAAAAAGCACATCAACTACACTTAGACACATAGTTGTAGCACATTTACATTTAGTTTCTTGACAATTTTTTTTGCCAAGTACGAACATCCAACAAAAACAGAAGCAATGTTTATGCCAAATTTGAATTGAATTAATTAGGCTTAACACTGATCAATTTAGTGACTTTTGTTGCTGGCATTTTTGTTGCTGGCATTGTACCTAATATTCTTAACGTTTTAAATGTTTGAAATCTTTTACAGTGTAGATATTTATGTATCTTTTGTTTTTCACTTGATACTTATCTGATATTCTTTTATTTTCAAGTTTCATTTTAAAAGAACTGATAACTTATTTCTAGACCAAATACCTAAGTGTTCATTAGCAAGATTACTGTTGGCTTAAGGAGTTTTAAAGATATCCTTGAGCATTATATTCTTGTTGTAAAGTTTTGCTTTTCGGCAATAATGCAAGTACTAACTCCTTATAATACCTGTATTATTGAGCCAGGGGTTTTGAGAATAATTTTAAAAATGTTGCACTGATAACACTGTTAATTTGGTATATTTGAAATGGTCCCATTTAGTAAAAAATTTGGCGTTTGTTTAATAGTGTTACTTAACTAACCATAAGAAAATTTAATAAGCCCAAAAAAATGTCTAAAAAAGTCACAATTTGAAAAAATTATAACTTTAACTAAGTTTTTTACTGGCTCAATTTTAATATATCCATAATGTTCAAACCTTTAGAGTAAAAAAGTTTTTTACAATAGTGGTCCATCATCATGAAAAGATTAATATAATAAAAAGGATATTTTATAATATTAGAGTATATTACTAAAGTAATTCAGTATGTTTAATATTATAGTATTATACTTTTTATTTGTTTTTTAGTTATTTTTTATTTAATTTTTTAGTTGTCTTTTATTTTATTTAGGCTTAAATGACAATATACTGATTGCAATTCTTAAAAAAGGCTGCAATAATTTGAAGTCTATTGATTTTTCAGCATCTCCTTATGTTATAACAAAAATAAGTTTTTTTATGATTGGTAAGTTTAAAGTTAAGTTGATTGTAAACTAAAAACAAGATTCTTGCAAAGTACATGTTGCACATGTCTTGTTCAACATGTTACACTGCTTTTGTTTGTGGTTTAAATACATTTATAATTACTTTGTAGGTAAAGTATGTAAACAGCTGCAGCAATTAAATATTTCTCGAACTTGTATCCAAAATAAAACATTGAAATACCTTGGAGAAAATCTTGTTCAGTTGCAAGTTAGTTTTTTTTTTTTTTTTTGTTCAACTATTTTGATTATTTCTTTTTATTTAATCTTGTTGTCAATAGTTGGTTTCTTTTTTTTTTAATCTTGTTGTCAACAGTAGATTTTTTTTAGGTTCTTAAAATGGATAGGTGTTTAAATGTTGGAGAAAAAGGGTAATTTATTTATTTATATATACATATATATATATATATATATATATATATATATATATATATATATATATATATATATATATATATATATGCATATATATATACATATGCATATATATATATATATATGCATATATTTATATATATATATATGCATATATGTATAAATATATATATATATATATATATATATATATATATATATATATATATATATATATATATATATATATATATATATATATATATATTGTTTTGTATATTAGTTCTAATGTTCCACACAAACAATGTGTAAACAATCACAAGTTTACTTTTTCAGTTTTTGGTGGATGTTCAAAGATTTAAAACATCTTGAAATACTTTCTGTAACAGAAAGCTCAAGGCTAATAGGAAAGGTAGGACTAGTCGGAACTAATTACAATTACAAAAAACAAATAAATTTATAAACATTTTTATTTAAATTATTTCAATTATGGAGTATATTTTAATCTATTTAACTTATGATGCATAAATAATATTGTTTTTAATCAGGAATTATGACTTTGATTGTAATAAACAATTTTTTTAGTGCTTGTTTATGTTACACTCTTCATTAAAAGTTGTGGATTTCAGTAATTGCTCTAGAGTGAGTAGAGTTTTTTTTATGGTTACATTAGTGATTTTACACTGATTTCATTGATGTTTTTAATTATAATTTTAAAAAATTAGCTTAAAAAAATTACATTTTTTTACAAAATACAAATAATTCAAGTGCAAATAAATTTATAATTGCAAAATTTTCATGAAATTTATGTAAGGCTATCATGTTTAATGTTTTAAGTTTTGTTTCAAGAGAAAAAAGCAATTTTTAATTTAGAGATAAGATATAAAACATGTTATGAAATACTTCAGATAAAACATGTTTTAAAATAATCTAGAAACATGTTTATTGTTAGTTTAATTAGGGTATAAACTGTTATTGCAATACTATTATTTATTATATTTTTAGTTAAATTAAGTTTGTTTTAAGAAAAAAAGTAATTTTTAATTTAAGGAATGATGAAATATAAAACATGTTTTAGAATAATCATGTAATAATCAATGAAAAATAAATAATAAAACGTGTTTTATTATTGGTGTAATTTTGGGTATAAATCTATTTAGTAATACTGAACTTAATAGTGGTATTAGTAGTAGCGCGCTTTTGAGTTTGTTTGACACAGAACTCTTGCAGCCATTGCAAGCAGGTGATAGCGAAAAAGTGTCACAGCACTTTGTTTTATAAGAAAACGTGAACGAACGTGTATGCAAATAACTAGCGTATATAAACTTTAAATTAGGTAATATTAAAACATACTAAAACATTTATCAAGTTTAATAGTTTGATTTTCATTTGAAAATTGCATTGTGTCAAGCTCTCCTTAATTTTGATCTATTACATTTATTTCTGTTAAAAAAATCATTATATACTTTTAAAAATTTTCATTCATCAACATGCCAGCATTGCGGAGTGGGTAGCGCGCCGAGCTTTGGAACAAGTAAGCCGAGGTTCAAGTCCTACCAATGGCAACTATTTTGTTGTTAATTTTTTTTTGATTGTTTTAAAAAACAAAATATTTTTGAAGTTTCATAGAGATGATATACAAAAATATGTAGCAATATTACAAGCTTTAACAAACGAAAAGAAAAAATTTCTAAAAACATTAAACAACATCACCAGGGGAAAACAATTTGTTGCGTATGTGTCATGAGATATTTATGTTATTAATGTGCTCAGATAATTAGTCCTAATAAGCTGCGTATGGTCTGAAAAAAAAGTTGTCTGAAACTTAATAAAGAAAAAACTTAATAAGACAATCCTGCAACTCCAGAAGGTGCTGCTGTGAAGGCAAAAAAAAAAAGCCTGTAGCTAGAAAAAACTTAAAAACTTTTTTTGACAATTAAAAGTTTTTTTTGCTACATTTATTTTTTTACTATAAATATATGCTGCAGCCGTTTTTCAAAAGGCCTTAATATGCTTAATATGCTCTCGAAATACATAAGTATTTCAAGAAAAATGCAATTAAAAAAAAATTAATAGAAGAAACTCTTTGTAAACCATTTTTTTAATCAAATGATTTTAATAAATTTTTTCAGAACTCTTTGAAAATATGTATTCAATAATGTTTTTAGATACTTTGAGGCGTTTTGAAAAACAGCTGCAGTATTGATAATACAACAAGTATGTTGAAATGAGATAATTTGACGCTAATTTTGTTATATTTTTCTTTAGTTTTTAATCATAAGAATGAGCTTTTTTTTTATGACTATATTTAAGTGTTCTAAGGTCTTCTTAGTTCCATTTGTATAGCGTTACGTACAAATGTCTGTAAGTGTAAAAGTCTTTAGTTTATGTTGAGTTTGCAGGCATTATATGAAATAATTGCGTATAATATATCTATAAAATGAGAAAACCTAAAGTTTTAACTTTATAAATCTTTTTTGCTATAATATTATTTTTTTGCTATAAATATATAAGCAAGATTGAAAAAATATCAAAATTTATTATGCTAAGAGGAGGTCTTGAACCCCAAAAAACAACACTGATGAAATCGCACTTAACCACTGAGCTATCAGTAAAATGCATTTAACAGAAAAACAAACTTAATTATAAGTCTCTTATAATTAAGTTTGTTTTTTGTTTTTAGAGTTTTTTTTCAGAATAAATTATTTTACTAAAAAATATTGAAGTAAATAAGGAATAGGTATAGAAACAATCGGTTTGGAATAGATATCTATTCCAAAAGTAAATTGGTGAAGACCTGTATTTTACGAAAACTTTTGTTTGGAATAGACTTACAAAGACTTGTATTTTTACGGGTCCGATCTTAGCTAGTTTGTAATATTTTTATGATAATTTAAATATATTTAATATAATATTAAATACCAAAATTATTATTTATCATATTTCTAGTTAAATGATGACGGAATATGCAATTTAACAAAGAGCTGTCCTAATCTTTCTTCAGTTAATTTATCATTTTGTATATCTCTTTCTGATCAATCGCTTGTTTTTTTATCTCAAGTTAGTAATTTCTTATTTAAAGCCATTTTGTTTTTGTTGAGAGCAAAAACAGATTTTACTTTAAATTTTTTTTTACTTTAGAGATGCAGCTCAATAAACAATCTTAATCTATGTGGTTTAAGTAAAACAGGTAAAACAGTTTTTGTTAACATGGATTGTTTGCTGTATTTAGAAATGTTTAATTTGTTGGATTATTTTAGTAACACATCAAGGTTTTAACTCACTGAAAGAATTGAAAAATTTGGTATTTTTAAGCTTTTTTTTTTTTTTTGTTTACTTTTTTTGTTAATTTTTCACAAAGGTGAAAAATGTTTGTTTTTGCAATTTTAAGAAAGTAAAAATTGTAAAACAAGATAAAACAAAAATACTTATGTATTTAAATTATATTAACACAATATATACTTATAAACAGAAGTTTATATATTTATTTTACATAAATTTACTTATTTTATAAAAAAAAAAATTTAAATCTAAATTGTTTTTAAATAGTTATTTTAATTAAACCGGTCCTTTCTTAATTCAACAAAACTTGCAAAAATTGCGTTTTTTATGTTTCTACTCCTATGTTTAGTGTCTTTACCATAATAGACATTTTTTTTATATAAAATTTTTTTTTGTTGAATTTGAAAAGTTTTAACAAAAGGACTTGTGTTCCTTTTGATATTTCAGACAGGTTCAATTATGCTTTAAATATTTTTAGATATTTTAACTTTCAAAATTTCTTCTAGGTTACGCTCAACATAAGTCGCAATATTAATGTAAATGATGAGGTCATTGAAATGATTGGAATGTCATGTAACAGAATACAGTAAGTCAATTGTTCTTCCAAACTGAATTGCATATTTCCTAACTCCTACTTTTTAAATTTAATTTTTTAAATTGTATGTGTATGTGTGTGTTAGGGATATTTTATAAGATTATCTTATTATTTTTTCAAATGAAGGGTCAATTGTTTATGGGTGAATTTCTTAACGGTCAAAAAAAAAAACTATCAATAACTTTTTTTTAATGTTTTGGCTTTAAGAAAATCTTTGCATACTACTCATAAATTAGTTAATCATTTCTAATCGGCATTCATTCTATGATAAGTTTAAAAAATTAATGATAATGAAAAAACGTTTCTTAAGGGGTCTTCCATTAATTACGTCACGCAATTTTGATCGTTTTTGACCTTCCCCTCTCCCTCATCACAAAATTGTAATACTTAAGAAGCAAAATTTATATGAGTTGTCACAAAACCAACAATACCACCCTTCCCTCTTATAGCGTGACGTGATTTATATTTATATTAGCACTTAGGTAATAAGATAAAAAAGATTTATTCATTTGAAACTAAATAAATTTTATAAACTATAAATAAATTTTAACTATAAACAAGTTGAATTTAAAGCAAACATTAAAAAGTAACTTAAACTAAAATTAATAAAAAAGAATTTTCTTTTCTTTAACATTTTTTTATTTTTTAACAATTTAATATTTAACGTTTGGAAATTTTTAAAGTAAAATAAATTGTAAAACATAGTGTTGTAAATTTTTTTAAAAATTTAAATTACATTTAATAACATAAATTAAATTTGATAAAATAAATTTAAGTTAATAAAATAAAAATAAGTTCAAAATTTTTTAAATTGGAAAGTAGAAAAAAGTCTATATGTTTTTTTATTGAAGAAAAAAAAAATTGTGGTGAAAATATTTTTTACGAAACTTAACTACTGCTTATTAATGTTTAATAATAAATTCAATTCAAATATAATAAAATAAATTTAATTTAGAAATTTTTTAAAATTGGAAAGTATATATATATATATATATATATATATATATATATATATATATATATATATATATACATATGTATATATATATATATATATATATATATATATATATATATATATATATATATATATATATATATATATATATATATGTAAATGTATATATATATATATATATATATATATATATATATATATATATATATATATATATATATATATATATATATATTATATATAGTCTTGCATGGTAGTTAGGAAGTTTTTCCCATAGTCTGTAGTTTTAAAGAGCCCATTAATAAACCAGACCAGAGAAAGTTTAAAAACTTTATTTTTTATTTATTTTTCTTACTGCCTGACCAAAACAAACCATCAGTCGATGGTTTGTTTTGGTCAGGCAGTCGATGGTTTGTTTTGTTCAAAATTTTTTAAATTGGAAAGTAGAAAAAAGTCTATATGTTTTTTTATTGAAGAAAAAAAAAATTGTGGTGAAAATATTTTTTACGAAACTTAACTACTGCTTATTAATGTTTAATAATAAATTCAATTCAAATATAATAAAATAAATTTAATTTAGAAATTTTTTAAAATTGGAAAGTATATATATATATATATATATATATATATATATATATATATATATATATTTATATATATATATATATATATATATATACATATGTATATATATATATATATATATATATATATATATATATATATATATATATATATATATATATATATATATATATATATATATATATATATATATATATATATATATATAAATGTATATATATATATATATATATATATATATATATATATATATATATATATATATATATACTCATATAGTGTCGCTTTAAGAGCATTTTAATGTAAAAAAAGTCTCTTACGACTACAATTTTAATTACCTCGTCTCTTAAGCTGTTTTTGATTGTCATCGAAATGTCAAAGCAATTAATTTATGCGGAAGTACATTAAATTTAATTGTTTTTTAAAAAATTTTTAAAAAACCGCAATTATAACGACTAGAAAGTTTTTTTTAATTAGTGGTGTTTTTGTTATTGATTTAATAAAAAACATTTTTTAAACATGCGTAAATGTTGCTACATCGACTATCTTATAGCCTGACTCGCAACGGAGTGCTGCTACATCGACTGACAAATAGCCTGACTCGCAACGGAGTGCTGCTACATCGACTGACAAATAGCCTGACTCGCAACGGAGTGCTGCTACATCGACTGACAAATAGCCTGACTCGCAAGGGAATGCTGCTACATCGACTGACAATTAGCCTGACTCGCAAGGGAGTGCTGCTACAACGACTGACAAATAGCCTGACTCGCAAGAGATATATAAATACATATAAATATATATATATATATATATATATATATATATATATATATATATATATATATATATCCTTATAGTGTAGTCGAAAGAGTCGTTTAATGTAAAAAAAGTCTCTTTCAACTACAATTTTAATTACCTCGTCTCTTAAGCTGTTTTTGATTATCGTCGAAATGTCAAAGCAATTAAATTTATGCGGAAGTACATTAAATTTTATTGTTTTTTTAAAAAACCGCAATTATAACAACTAAAAATTTTTTTTTTATTAGTGGTGTTTTTGTTTTTGTTTTATTAAAAAACATTTTTAAAACATGCGTAAATGTTGATACATCGACTATCTTATAGCCTAACTCGCAACGGAGTGCTGCTACATCGACTGACAAATAGCCTGACTCGCAATGAAGTGCTGCTACATCGACTGACAAATAGCCTGACTCGCAACGGAGTGCTGCTACATCGACTGACAAATAGCCTGACTCGCAAGGGAGTGCTGCTACAACAACTGACAAATAGCCTGACTTGCAAGGGAGTGCTGCTACATCGACTGAGGGTTTGGTTTGGGCAGGCAGTCTATCATTTAAAAAAAAAAAAAATAATTTTTTTTTTAAACTTTTTCTGGTCTGGTTTATTAACGCGCTCTTTAAAACTACAGTTTATGGGAAACTCTTTTTCACTACCATGCAAGAGTATATATATATGCATATATATATATATATGCATATATATATATATATGTATATATATGTATATATATGTATATATATGTATATATATATATATATATATATATATATATATATATATATATATATATATATATATATATATATATATGTATATATATATATATATATATATATATATATATATATATATATATATATATATATATATGTATATATATATATATCAGGCTTTCCCAGGAAAGGCGTGCGGTTGCACGCCTTGTTTGTCCACGCATAGAATTAATTTTTCTGACTAACTGACCATGTTTTATTATTATGCATTTCAAGAATTCGCGCTAAAACATAGCTAAACGAAAATACCGCAAAAATGCAAGCAACCTTAAAGTAAATAACAGAAATCTGTTTGTGCTTTAAAATTAAAAAATTAATGTATATTATTAAAAAAAAAATTTACCTATATTTTATTTATTTATTTTTTTAGGGTGGTAGTTATTTTAGCTATGAAAAATCAAATCAATAAGAAAAATCAAATCAAAAAGAAAAAAAATAATGTTTAAAGAAAATAAAAAAACCTTTTAATGTAAAATTTATTTATCAATGAATTTTATGAGTCAGTAATACTTTAAAATTCACGATAGAACTATAAACAATTTTTAAATGTTTCGTTATTTGTTTAAATGTATTGATTTAAATGTTTGAATGTATTGATACGCTAGAAAACACGAAAACGATTTCTATTTATTAGTAAAATATATTTGTTTTTTTTTTAAATGAAAGAAAATTTTATTGTCAAACAATTGAGTTGCTTATTTTGCAATCATTAATTGACATTGTGAACGAGTGTTAAGATATAATAATGTCCCGAAGGAACTGTTTTCTTAACAATGACAACAGAAGCAATGCAATTATTTTTTTAACTTCTTTTGTAATAACAAAATTATGCAATTGAATAATTTCAATGTAATAAAAGGTGAGCATTGACTCAATATAATCAGTTTAGAATAAGTCGAGAACTTTTTTCACATTAAAATTTTGTTATGTTTAAAATCTCAAATAATATATTTAATAACTAAAACAGCAATTTATTTTCTTGTCTAAGTATTGGGCAATAAAGTCATCGCCTTTGCATAAACCTTCGTAAAAACTAAATTAAATGAAAAAGTTTAACCAAATTTGTCTAGCGTAAATAATGAATCAGTTTTTTAATACATTGTCTGATAAAGTTCGTGAATAAATTACGTATCAAGTCTTTATTTTCGTGAAAACTTTATGACTTATCGTCGTCTTTTCCTTGACTTGTATCAAATTTCGTAGCTCAAAATAGCAACCCTAAAAAAAAAAAAAAAAAGTATAAAAATTTTGAAAAAAATGTTCAAGACTTTTTTTTTTTTTTTTGTTACAAGAATTATTTTTTTTTTAATTTTTTTTTTTATTATCAAAATATTTTTCTTACATCCAATTTCAATTTTATACTTTGTTTAGACTTCGTTTCCTTTTTTTAAAATTATTTTTTATTCTCTGTGGTAATTTCCGCTTTCCCACGAAATAATGCCGCGGTCACGTTTTCTGAAAAATTTCTTATATGCGTGGACAAACAAGGTGTGCGACCGCACGCCTTTCCTGGGAAAGCCTGATATATATATATATATATATATATATATATATATATATATATATATATATATATATATATATATATATATATATATATATATATATATATATATATATATATTAGGGTGATGCAAAATTTGTAGGTTCAAAACTTTAGTTGTCCTCAAGCTTGCCCTTGTTCTATATGACAATAGTAGTTATTGGCCAAAATTTGAATCAAATCGGATGATATTTAGGGGTTGCCATGTTTTGTCACATTTTGGTATAAGGTTACAAAAAGTAAAAAAAATATTTTTTATTTTTACATTTTTTATATTATATTACTGAATTATTTATTATCAATTTCTTATTATTATGTGGTGGATTGT